TGACCTCTGGTCTGGCCTGGCCCCTGGACGGGAGGATGGGGCCGTGTCCTGGAGGCTGGTGCCGGCACCCATAGGATGTGGCCTGAGGGTGTGTGCCACCGCTTCAAATGTACCCAGGCTTCCACCACAGCTGCTCCCCAGGCCGTTTAGTCTAGAAGGAGCTGACATTCTGCAGGAGATTCGTTCATTCTTTCAAATTCTGCTGAGTGGGGTTCGTGAGCCCCCAGGAATCTCTGACAAGGTGGGACGCGGGGCTCTACCAAACACTAACCTCATTTCTGCGCTGGGGGCAGGCTCCCCTCCTCAGGGGCCACCCTTGGTTTCACCTGGTGATACTGTGGAGAGGTCAGTGTCACCAGCCCCACCTGCACAGGGGCAGCTGGAGGGGAGGCTACAGCTGCAGGGAGCCCATTGGAAGTACCTCGCCTCTGCGCAGCCTCCAGGGGGACTTTAGGAGGCCCCCAGGCGACCACCATGTCCCCCATCTCCATGTCCCCAAGGGGTTCCACTCACTGCTCCAGGCCATCTCAATGCTGGACCAAGGCTCCCCTCCCGGGAGACACCCCGACCCACGGCCCGTCAGCAGGTTGTCCCAGGAAGCCATGGGCCTTGTCCCAAGGTAGGGCAACCAAACCAAACAGGCTTTCCAAAAAGAGTTTTCAAAATAAACCCACAGCAGTGAAAAGATGTGTCCTTCCAGGTCCTTGGTCAGGGAGATGACCCAGAAGTCTCCTTCCTGGGTCTCTGTTTCTGAGAAAAGTATACCTAGGTGTTCTGGACTGTTCCACAGGCTGCCCTTCCAGCATGCGTGGGAAGAGGCTGCCCATCTGCAGCGGCACTTCAACCCCTGAACCCTTCGCCTGCCTGGGGGCTGGTACTGCAGGGAATCGCTGAACTTCAGACGGAGCAGGGACCTCGGAGATCACATGGGATCACATGGGCTCAGTCCTCACATGGGAAACTGAGGCCAGAGAGAATAGGGACTGACTTCCTAGAAAAAAAATCCCCAACACCACAGGGCACAGGACCCTGGAATATCCTCTGGTCCCTACTGACAGTCCTCTAGCACCCAGCTCCCCAAGCATCTTCCAAATCAGCAAAGGACAGTTCCAGGAAAGGACAGTGTGGGCACCATGTACACACACACACACACACACACACCCTTAGATTGCTGGTTTCTCAATGGCCCAGAGACCTGCATTTGGGAGAGGGAGAAGGGGCTAAGCAAGGTCCCCACTCAATTCCCTGGGTGACCAGCCATCCTCCTCCTTCTGGGTTGGGGGAGGGGGTGTGGTGGCTTGGAGGGTCACCACCTTCTGGAGAGGAGAGCTGCTGGGCTCCCCACCCCCAGGCCTGACCCTCCCCACCCCAGGTCTGGGCAGTTTTACAAATCCCTCCAGGGTTCAGGGGCCTTGGGACACAAAAGAGAAACTGGCTCGGAGATTTTCAGACTCCACTCAGGATACCACAGCCCACAGGCACTTACTGAGTGCCGACTGTGTGCAGGACACAGGACATGGACACGGGAGATCTGACTCGTTTGTAGAATTTTACAATCTGAGTAGGAAGACGTGATATTGAAGGGGTTTTGGCTTCTTTAAATTTGCTAGGAAAAAAGGGGTTCATGACAAAGAAGTTACGCAGGTTCCCAAAAGAGGAATCCCATGAGCCTGCCCAGGTGGAGGGCTTCCCGGAGGAGGTGGGCCCTTTAAAAGGGGCAGAAGGAGTGCAGAGGTCACCCTGGCCTGCAGGACCTTCATGGGCAAAGGCATGAGGTGACACACTGGGGAGGACAGAGGAGGTGAGCTGTGTGTGGCTTCGAGCTAGACTGGGCTCCCCAAAGGCCTTTCAATAAGACAGCAAGACCTCAGGGTGACCAGGGGACCTCGGGGGACAGGCTTTCCCCCACTGCCTGGCATGAGCACCTTCTGTCTCCACCAGCGAGAACCGTGCCACCAAAAGGGCTCATTGCAGGGAGCGGGTGGGGACCAGCAGTTTGGCGCATGCGTGGAAGTTACCCCTCTTGCCTTCAGTGGCACTCTTGGGAACCCTCCACGTTTCAGATGCCCCTGGGGACAGGAGCAGTGCCACTTCCTGGTTCTCAGATCAAATGGCAGGCTCGGGGTAACAGGACGTCACCAAACATTCTAGAATTGGCCACCAGATCAGCACGGAGTGGCTCCCCAAGAACAAGACGATTTGTGGCCCCTCCCTTCTAAAGATGACCCTCCCAACAGGGGGCAGGGGGCTGGCAGAGGAGGCAAACCAGAGGGCAAGGGGTTGTCTGGGTCACTTCCCTCCCTGGGGATCTGTCCGGCACATAGCCCCCATCCCTAGAGTGCCCAGGACCCCGCTGTGGGCGGCCCCCACATGCCCTGCTGCGCTCCACCCATCTCCCCCGGCCAGCTTTTCCTTCCCAGCTGACTGGTGTCAGGCTCTCTGGGAAGCAACCTGTCACCCAGCTCTGGGTCCACGACCCAGTCCCTGCCCGGCCCTGTCCCCCACTGCCCCACCTCCGGGCCTTTGCTGGGACGTTCTCTCCTGCCCTCCCCCTCCCTCCTTGCCGGCTGCCCACCTCAGTTGTCACTGTCTAGATGACAGGCGCAGAGGGATGACTCACTAGCCACGACAGTGTCAGAGGGAAGAATCTGTGGTCATTTGTCACTCATTTCTTACTCCTCTCTGCTCCGGCCTGTGGCTGGGAGGCCCTGCAGCGGGGCTGGGACCCTGTCTGCCACATGGAGCTCCAGGGGAGGAGGTTGAGGGCTCCTGTTGCCTCCTTCTGCTTCCTGGAGACCAGGTCCTGGGGCCTCCGCTATGGATTTGGGGATCTCCTGGATTAACAGGAAGGTATCCTGGGGCTGCAGGGGGTGGAGGGATTTAAGCTTTTAACACTTGTTGCTTCAGTGAAGATCACTGCATAGGGCCCCAGACCCAGGACAGGGTCCAGGGGAGGAGGGCCTCAGGGGGAGGTGCTGGGTCCCCTCATCACAAGCAGACCTGCCCGCCTCCCCCTCCTCTCAGCTGCTTCTTGGGGGATGTACTGGGGCTTCTCGGGGCCAGGGCTGGTGAGAAGCCTTCGCTGCTGTGGCCAGAGTCTCCTTCAGGGTCTGGAAGGACACGTGGGAACACCAGACCTTAAAAGCAAGGAGGCCCAGGTCAGGGCGCAAAGCTGAGCCAATGGCTCAGACTGAATCATCCCTGGCCCTGCCCAGGGAGAGCCCCATCTGGGCGCCTGGAGTGATGTCAGGGCTCCTGAGGGCTTCGGCAGGACTCCTCTATCATCTCAGGCCTGGACCTGAGTTCCACTCTTCTCTGCGGGGGTCTCCATTCCCTGGTTGTTACACTGGGGGCTTGGATTAGGGCTGTGACAGGCACATTTCTTCCCAAGGTGGGTTCTTTTGCAGATGAAACTTCACACAGATACTCAAACAGCAAACCTGTGGAAACGCACCTGGTGCCTGCCATGGTGGGGCAGCGTGGGGTGACAGCCAGGTCTCCCCTGAGCCCCAAACCACTGGCCCTAATGCCCTCTAAGAGAAGACCGTCTCAGGTGACTTCTCCACTCCACTGGGCATCTGAGCCCTGAAGCCCCGGTCCCTTAGCCATCTCAGCCTCGCCTGTCATTCCCGGCTCTTCTTTCCCTCCATGTCACCTGGAATCCATCAGCAAATCCAGAGGCTCTGTTGTCTTGTGTCACCACTGCCCACCTCGTCCTGGCCTCTCCTGGCCCTTCAAGGTCTGTCACAGGTCTCTCCACTTCTGCTTCCGTTCCACCTACAGTCTGTCACCCTCTGTGCAAACTGTCCTGTGGCCCTGGCTTACTCAGAGAACCCACCAAAGCCTTTCCGGCCCTTTGGGGCCCCACCTCCCTCTGTCCTGACTCTCTGCTCCCCAGCCAGCCACATCCCCCCAGGATTGCTCTTGCTTTAAGGCCTCTGCTAAATGTCCTGTCCACGCTGTGGCTGCTCGTGCCCACGTGTCCAGAATGTCCCCCTGGGCTCCCCACAACTCCTAGGCTGACTTTGTCTCTCTTCTTGGTAGAACACCAGCCTTGCAGGGGCAGCAGCATGGTTGAAGCCTGGGCCCAGCCCTGCCCAGTGCAGACTGCTGAATGGATATTGAATGAATGGCAGAGTCTGAAAGGTGAGAGGAAGCCCCTGCACCCAGGGCACTAGGCAACCTGTCTGCATTTTCTCTCTGCCTAGCCAATGTTTTCAAAAAGAAGTAGGAAGGGTTTACTTGCAAAGATCCTCCAGGGACCAACACTCAAGTGGCAGCTTCCTAGCCCCGTGGAGGTGAGGCAGGATGCATTCCCTAGTTATCCGAGCATCCTCCCCCCAGAAGGAAGGAGGGGCTCTGGAACAGCAGGGTGGAAGGACACATGCCACCAAGGACTCAGGACACCACCCTGAGTGGTTTGGGGGGGAAGGGCCTTTGAGTCTTCGCCTCCTGATCTTTGAGTACTGTAACGTCTGGGGTGTGCCAATAAGGAGCAATGAATGTGGGAGTCATACCCCCAAACTGCACTGTAGTACTTGATAGTCAAGAAGCATCAGGCTCCTATCGGAAGAACAGGGTAGAAATCAGACGAGACAGATTGCACTGCTCAAGTTTCCTAGACTTCTGTCAGTTGGAAAGGCTGTCCCCAGTGGTAGCAAGTCCTCTGTCACTAAAGCTAAGCAAGTATATTTCAAGAAGGTTGTCAGGGGCATTCCTTTGCCTGGGGCAAGGTTAAAGAAGATGCTACCTATGAACCCTTCCAACCCAAAAGGTCCTCTGCAATAGAGCTGCATGGTTAGCAGCAAATCAAAACTCTCAGAGTGCTTAGGATGGACCAGGCAGAGCTCTGAGCAGGTGCATTCTGAAATGGCACGATAACCTCATGCTGCCTGTGGGCAGCTGCTTAAATACAACTCATCCAGTCCAGGAAACAATCCTACGCAGCAGCAGGTGGTGTTGGATTTACAGAGAGGGAAAGGCAAGCTCTCTAGGCCAAGTGAGCAAAAGGAGGATCACACCTTTTTATTACAATAACTATTGAGGGTTTTCCCAATAGGCCAATGTGCTACACCATTTCTATGGATTTAATACTTAAAACAACAGCAAAGAGGAGTTATACTGCATAGTCTCATGAAGTAAACTGAGGCACAGACAGGCTAAATAACTGAATAGGTAAAGAACAATGAAAGGTAAGAGGAAATGGGTCAGGCTAGGTCATCCCTGGGAAAAATGGGAAGTAGGTAAGGTCAGGCCCCAGCCACTTGTCCTCCCTCCTCCCAGATCCTGGCCAATTCCACCCTGCAACCTGGGGTGTGGCAGACACTTGCCTCTGGGGCCCCTTCCCCATTGGAATCCCCAGTCCTTCCCACAAGATGGTATTTGTCTTTGCGGGCTGGCTTCCAAGGAAAAGCAAGCATTCAGGGTCCATAGTTTATGGGCTGGGGCTGCAGTGGAGGAAGGGAAGGAGTTTAGAAGAAGGGAGGCTTTTAGAAGAGATTAAGGACCCCTCCAAGGCACTCCCAGTCCCTCCCACCCAAGGGGTCCTCACCTGCAGCTGTCCCCCAATCTCTGCCCGCACAAGATCCGCCCAACTCTTCTGTTGGGCTTAGAACTGAGGCCCTGGGAGATGAGGTCACAAGGCTAGAGGAGGCAGCCGCAAGGCGTCCATCATGAAACAGACCCGGGACTTTCAAACCGCAAAGCAGGGAATGGATCCCCGAGACGCGCTCATGGGCCATGGCACCCAAAAAGATTCCAAAAGGCTTTCCAAGGAATCTGCCTCAACAAACTTGAAGCTTCCTGGGCGTCCTCTGGGATGGATGGGCGACAGGTTTCTCTGTGGAGCGCAATCCTAAAGCATGAGATTGCAAGGTGGGGGCAGGCGAGGGGGAGGTGAAGTCAGACGCTAGGGAGCCCTCTGGGAAGTCGGTTCCCAAACCTTTCAGCTTTATGCGCTCAAAACTGTGTCCCCCGCTCCAGGGCCCTGCAAGATCATACCCACCGGGTGCAACCTGGACCCTCCCCAGCCACTAGGCTCGGCAAAGTCCCGTCCAAAGGTCACTGCCCCAGGCCCGGCCAGTTCAGCGGGGGAGGGGATCCTGGTGGGCCCTCTGTTCCCGCAAGCGGATCAGCTGAAATTGCGGATCGCCTGAAATTGCGGGGGCCTTAGGCCCCTCATCCCGCGCTCGGAGGGACCCCAGGATCGAGGGCGCGCCCCGGGGCTCAGGCGGAGCTGCGGTGCTGCAGGCTGGCGGGGCCCTGGCCGCGCACACTCGCACGCAAAGTTCAGACCAGGCAGGAGCCAGAGCGGACAGCCGCGTCTACACCCGCGCCGCGGCTCTGGCAGGTAGAGGCGCAACCCTAGAAAGCCCGGCGCCCGGCCGCGGAGCGTGTGCTGGTCTCCCGGTGTCCGGGCTGAAAAGTTTGGCCAAGTCGTCGGTTGCTGCAGAGTCACCCTTCCCCGAAGAACCGCGGGCTGGCCTCGGCCGCGGCTGGGTTCCCACACGGCCCGAGGTGCCGCGGTGCAGGGTCCCTCGGAGCCCGAGGACTCCCGGGGACCGAGAAGTGGAGTGGGGAGGCCGAACAGCCCCCCGGGAGAGCGGCGCCCGCCCCGACTTACCCCTGGGGGTCCCCGCGCGCGGGCGCCCCGGCCCGTCGGATCATGCCGCCGGCAGCTGGGGCACGGTGCTGGGAAGGGCTCAGGCGCCGCGAGGCGCGGAACGCGGTGCCCCCGGCGCCCACATGTCCCTGGCGCTGGCCCTCGGGATGGGCCCCGGCCGCCGCCGCCGCCAGCCCCGCGCCGAGTGGGGAAGCCGCCGCCGCCGCCGCGCTCTGGGGCTTTCGCTCCCTTCCACTTCCTGTATCGCAGCGAGCGGGGCTTTCAGGAAGAGGCTGGCCTTGGTGGTCAAGGGTTTTTTGTCAAAAGCCATTCGGCGGCGGCTCGCGGCCCGGAGCCCCCTGGGGCACACGGAAGCCGGGCGGCCGCGCCCCCGGGGCCGGGCCTGGCGGCGGGCGGTGCCCGGGCAGAGGCGCCCAGCGCGGGCGCCCAGTCTCGGGGTGCCGCCTCCGCCCGCTGGGGCTGCAGCCCGGGCGGCCTGCGGGCTCCCAGAGGGAAACCTAAATGAACCCAACTGGGCTGGGAAAGGAGGCCTCTCCCCTCCGACCCGCCCCGACCTCTGCCGGCAGGTGGGGAGGCCTGGAGCGGGAGTTCCTGGTCCCACGGGAAGCCAGGGCTTTGCCTCGGGTCTGAAGGGTTTGGAAATCATTCAAGGACAGCCTCAGACCGGAGGCAGGGCGCCTCCTTGGCATCTCTGACAGGTGGCCTCTGTCTTGTCTTGGATCCCTCCTCCTCTATGAGCTCCTTATCTAACAAGGCTGGCAATGACTTATCTGTGGCAGAGGGAGAAGGCAGGAGGTGACATCGTCAGCAACCCAGGTGGCCCCCCAGAGACCTCCCTTCAAGTGTCTAGCACTCAAATATGCCCCCTTTTGAGCCTACTGTGCCCCCAGAGCATTTTGCCGAGTGATGGGGTAGCACCAGACCTTAGGGAATCAGTCCCTCTAAAGCAGGGTTTCTCTCCATCTGAGCACTATGGACAGCAGGGGCCGGGTAATGTTTTGCTGTTGGGCCACTTGATGCGCTGTGGTGGGATGCTTAGCAGTGCCCTTCACCTCTACCCACTAGATGCCAGCAACACACCACCCCTCTGTTAAATGGAGCCTTCTGGTGGCAGTGTGACATGGTGCAACCCTTGAGGTTTGGGGACATTCTGGTAGTTCCTCAGAAGGCAAAACAGAGTTGTCCTGTGATCAGTGAATCCCTTCCAGGTCCATACCCAAGAGAAATGACAACTCGTCTACACAGAAACTTGCCCATGAGTGTTTATATCAGCATTGTTCCCAGCAGTCAAAGCCTGGAAGTGACAGTGTCCCTTGGTTGATGAGCAGTGAGCACAGGGTGGTGCCGTTATGTCAGGGGATATTATTTGGCCATCCCTAAGGAAAGAAGCACTGATAACATGCTACAACATGGATGACCCTTGAAAACTGACTAAGCAAACACTCAGAACAGACAGATTCACAGAGACAGTCGCTGGTGGTTGCAAAGAAACTGGGAGCAGAAGAGAAAGTGAGGAATGACTGTTCATGGTTACAGGGTTGTTTGGGGGGAGGTGATGAAAATGTCCTGAAATTGATTGTGGTGTTGGTTGCACAACTCTGTGGCTACACTAAAAACCATTGAATTATATGCTCTAAGTGGGTAAATTGTATGGTATGCAAATTGTATCCCAATAAAACTATTTTCTTTTAAAAAGGCACAAAAAGCATGGTCTCCAGGAGACCACCCTGACTGCGCAAGCCCACAACGCTGCCCCCTCTGTAGCCCAGATCCCTTCAGACCCCTGGCTGGGCCACGGCCAGATGCCACTGGCTTGTCTACTCCTCCCTGCACCATATCCCTCAACAGGCCTGTAGCTTCCCATTTGAAAATAGGTTTTGAGGACAGGCCCATGTTCATATCCAACCCAAAGACCTTCCAGCTGGGTGGCCTTGGGCAAGTCCCTTCCCAGAGCCTCCGTGTGCTCATCTGCAATAGTGAGGAGTACAGATAAGGTGGGCAAGAGGGACCCGCTCCAGGGCACCATTATGATTCCTTTGTTGTTCCTAAGACAAGCCTGTAAGCCACTCTTAGATCTCCTTGTGCCCCAGAGAAGGGGTGTATCCAACCACGGCACCTGGAATGGGTTTGAAAGCCCTCTAGGCTGATCTAGACTACGAGTAACCGCGTGCTGTCTGTCCTCTCCAGGAATAGATTTCCTTCCACTCCCGGAGTCAACAGAGCAGGCCCTTCAAAGTGTGGGTCGCATGGAACCAACCCTAGGCTCTCATCACGTCACCACGGAGGCCTTCTGAAGTTCACTGCTCACCTTCTCTGAGAAGCCCCAATTCCTCAGGTGCACACCAGATGAGGCCCCAAGGCAACCCTGTTACTGACAACTGCCAAGATTGCAGAAATCTGAGCAGGTGCTGTTAGGTGTGGTCTCTGGTCCACCCTGGGGTGATGTCAACCCAGGCTTGTCCTTGCCCCACTTCCTGAATCCCATTTTCCTTCCCAAGTTCCCAACCCCCCATCTTCTTCCCTAGCCATGGATCTCATACATTCTATACATGGACTCCTGTATAGAAGCAAGAATCTGGTATTATTGGGGCCCTCAGACTCCTTCCCTTTTGTGCCTACCTTATACTGGAGCTAATGAAGTGGAGGTGAGGTGCTTTAGACAGAGCTTGGAACAAGTAAGTGCTCAATACATATTGGCTATGATTTGTACCATGGCAAAGGCCCTTGATGTATCAGTCAGGTCTCCCAGGAAACAAATAGCTCCTCTGATTAGGATGATTTAAGAAATGTATAGGTAGCAGGTTGGGGATGTAGCTCAATAGTAAAGTGCTAGCCTAGCATTCTTGAGGCCCCGGCTTCAATCCCCAGCACCATGAAAGGAAAAAAAAAAGAGAAAAGAAATGTGTAGGCAGTTATATCTGAGAGACTGCCATCACCCTGAAATTGTGACTGTCTTCAGCCCAAAGGATGAGGAGTGAGGTGGTGACCAGACCCAGAAGGACAGCAGAGATTGCCCTTCCTCAGGCAATCTCAATAGGGAGGAAAGGGCACCTCAGTCCAGGCTGTCATTGTTGTGTGGGATAGAAGAATAATCTGATGAGCCCTTCCTGAATTCCTGACTGGTAAAATTGTAAATTATAATAAAAAGGTTACTGTTTGGGATATTTTGTTTTGCAAAACTGGATCAGCGGAAAACAGCTTCTCCGGGGCTTTTCTATGTCCTTCTGATTCCCAGCAAGCTCCCACCTCTCCATTGCCTGAGTATTTGGAGAAACAGAGAACAAGAGAGTGCTATTGTTGCAAAATCAGACAGGAACAAAAATGTCTGCCCATCTTGAGCAGGGTCTGGGGTGAGCCGGGGCTCACTCTGGCAGAAGGAGCAGCTTCTTCTCTGTTCTTGCCGGCACCTATCCATGGGGATGAGGATAGGATAGACGGTGATAGGCATCACAGTCTCTGTGTTGGGAGTGTTGGCACAGGATTGATAGTTGCCCCAGCAATCATCTGGTGGTCTCTCACAGGCTGTGATCAAACTGCTGGCCAGGGCTGGGGTCTCATCTGAATGCCCAGCTGAGGAACACTGTGCTTCCAAACATGGTTGTTGCAGGATTCAGTTCCTTGAGGGCTGTTGGAGAGGGGGCCTCCATTGCTTCCTGGTTGGTGACTGGAGGAATTCAACAAGGCCCCTGGATTCCTCAGAGTAGGCAGCTGAGAAGCCAATTGAGACAATGCATTTTCATTGCAAGGCAGAAGTCCCTGCCTTGTAGAACCAAATCACAGAAGTGACACCACCTCACCCTGGCCCTGTTCTGTTGGTTAGAAGCAAATCACTGATGCTGTTCACGCTCAAGGAAAGGGTGTTTAACTGGCCTGGAGAGCAGGAGGCAGGAATCCTGAGTAGCCATCTGGGATGCTGTCTGCTATAGGCAGGCTTGTGTGCTAAATAATCAGGGACTTTGTGTAGTCATCGGTCACTGAGATGGGCTCCAATCTCTGCTCTGACCTCAGAGTTGACTCCTTCTTAATCCCAGTTTTTGTATGTTCCAAGATAGCTTCTACTGGCAATTGGGATCCTACTCCCTGGGTTCATTCGGCAGGAAAGGGGGAAAGCCTCCCTCCTACCCAGGGAATAGAAATTGTGGAGTATGACTGGTCACCTTGGGTCACAGGCCTGCCCTGGTCAACAGGAGAATATCATGCACTTACCAGCTTAGATAAATGAGGTTTCAAACTTGGCCCTAGGGTTCTGGGGTGCCTTTCTCCTGGATCATGTTGGAGAGGGATTAAAACCTGATCAAAAAATCAAGACTCTTTCAGGAAGGATGAAAAGAATGGATATTGAAATGAGAATAGAACATTCTCCCATTACCTCTGTGTAGAAATGACCACAAACTCAAAGCCACACGAGGAGATGTTGGGGTTGGCAGATAGGTTCACCGTGTCGATGATGGTGATGGTCTCCTGTGTATCCACGTAAGGACATCAAGGCTTCTCAAAGTATATGCTTTCAACTTGTCCCTTCCTGTTTGTCGATTACACTTCAGCAAAGCTGTTTTGCCATCTCTGTAGCCATTATGATTTGAAAACACAAAACTTAAACAATCATTCTTCCAATTTCCAAAAGCATATCTGATTCTGCAGCAAAGTCGTTCCCATCACGGATGAGTGGGTCAAGTTCTGACTTATGTCTTTATCATTTTGCTGGGGTCAGACCCATTGCGTGTAAATGAGAATGTGTTCATTTACCGGTATCTTCATCAATGGCAACCAGGCCTTGGTTACACGTGAGTTTGGCAGGAGGCCTGGGCCTGCAGTTGCTGGATGGAGACCCCAGCACCACTGCCTGGGGCCAGCTGCACCAGTGCACGGTCCCTGTCCCCACACTCCATTCCAGCACCCTGTGGAGCATCCCTGCGTCCCCTTGGAGAAGTCATTTTTCATTATCTGCAGGTTTCCCTGAGTCCTCCATATTGGATCTCGTACAAACAAG